TTTCTATTGCATCAGTTTGTCACACTTTATGGAACGGTTTGCAAGACCTATCGTAACGGTTCAGCATGTCTATGGCAACGACATTTGGGCTTATTGCATAGGTGAACTAAATTATTATGTGCTCCTATTTGTGGGGGCTACGCGCGCACGAGGTGACGAGAGTCCGTGCGTAGCTACTATTATGCCTATGTCTGGGTAGTATAGGCTTACATCACGCTTTGTTGATATTGTTGTTAATTTATGTTATTATTGTCTTGAGAAGAAATAAGATTGGGGTTGCATAATAATTGTGTTGAAAGGAATTTGAATTGAGGAATTTAAGATTTTTAAGGGTTTCCATGAAACTTCTTATTTTCGAACGAATTGAGAATCATTATAATGACTTAAGAAATCTATGTGTAACCGCGTCGCATGGGCATTTGTGAGCGGGGAAAATCTCTTTAAAAAATTCACGTTAAATTGTTCTTATTTTGAAAAGAATAAAGAAAAGGATTTTGAATTATTAAATTATATTTGGCCGCGTCGCATGTATGATTCGCGAGCGGGGAAATTCCATAATTTATGTTTGACCGCGTCGTACGTATGATTCGCGAGCGGGGTATTTCGTTCTACTACTCTTATGGGATCGGGCCGTTCGCCCCGGCAGGATTTATGTACCACACTCTCATGGGAGCAGGTCGTTCGCCTTGGCAGGTTAATAGATGCATCTATGGTTTGCGTCGTTCGACCCTCGGTAGTGCACAGTTTACTTTTATGTTAGATCGTGCCGTACGCCTCAGTATTTCCTATATATGTATATGTATATACTATTCTCATGGAATCGTGCATGACATTTGTCTAGAAGCCAGTGAACCTGTGGATTTTTCCTTGTTTGAATTATGATAACTTCTCTAAGGAAATCCACCATATCTATATATGTGCTCCAGTTACAGAGGGAACTTGCTAGCTGAAAACTTGAGTAAAATAAAGAAGAAAGGGGATATAACTATGTATTTTATACATGCTTATTTCATATAATTGCCTTGTTTCGTACTTATTCACTTGTTTATTGTAATGATATTATTGGACAATTAGTAAGTGTCGAAGTCAACCTCTCGTCACTACTTCTTCGAGGTTAGGCGGGATACGTACTGAGTACACGTAGTTTTTGTACTCATGCTACACTTACTGTGCATTTTTGTTGCACAAGCACATGTTTGTCTTGTGGCTTAGTTTGGCGCAGCGGCATGGTTGATACGGAGACTGAGGTGAGCTGCATTTCTCGAGACGGTCCGCAACTAGCAGAGTCTCCTTCAAAGTAGTGTATTGTAGTTCCTTTACTATCCAATTTGTATTCTAGACGGTTAGTGTATTACATTGTTCCCTATAAATTTCTCATGCACTTGTGACACCGGGTTCTGGGATGACTAAGAGATTAGTCATTATTTAGGTTTGTTAAAGACATCATTATTTATTCAGTAGAATTCTTTATTAATTGTTTATGTTTAAAAAGGAATGATTTCAAAATGGTAAAACGAGAAATTTTTATTTATTTGGTGTTGGCTTGCCTGACAGTGGTGTCCGGCACCATCACGATCCTTAGTGGATTTTGGGATGGTCATATTGTACCTTGTATGGCACTAGTCCATAAATACGGGGTATTATAGCTTGGACCGTATTTTATCCCAAAATGTCAAACTTCGACAAAACTCATTTTCTTTGATTCGTTTACCCTCTAACCTTCACGAATTTACTTATCACTTGTTTGAAATAATATAATACTTATAACCTCAAAAATAATCTCATTCCCGAGCTTATATCAATTTATTCATGGCATACTTTCATGTACGAAAACATGGGGTGCAACAATATCTTGTTGATTCTTTGCCCCAATACCGCTCTTACCGCCACGTCGCTAGCATCGCACATGAGCTCAAATGGTAAGCTCCAAATTGGTGCGATAATGATGGGAGTGGTACTCAACCTATACTTGAGTCGCTCAAATGCCTTCATACAATCATCATTGAACACAAATTTGGCATCTTTTTCCAACAACTTCCAAAAGGGGTTCACCCCTTTTGAGAAATCCTTGATGAACCGACGGTAAAACCCCGCATGACCTAGAAAGCTCCTAACTCCTTTTACGGAAGTAGGAGGAGGGAGTTTTGATATCACTTCAATTTTTGCTTTATCCATTTCAATACCATTCTTGGAGATCTTGTGGCCGAGGACAATGCCCTCCTCGACCATAAAGTGATATTTCTCCCAATTAGGCACCAAGTTGGTCTCTTCACAACGTGCCAATACCTTATCAAGATTATCCAAACATGCTTTAAAAGAATCCCCCACAACAGAGAAATCATCCATGAAAATCTCGAGGAAGTCCTCCACCATATCCGTGAATATTGCCATCATGCACCGCTGAAAAGTAGCCGGTGCATTACATAAATCAAACGGCATCCTTGAGAATACAAATGTTCTGATCAAGAAATGGAAGCGGAAAATGGTCTTTCCGAGTCACTTTGTTGAGCTTCCTATAGTCTATGCATACTCTCCAAATGGTGACAGTTCTTGTGGGAATCAGCTCATTTTTGTCATTTGTAATCACAGTCATGCCCCCCTTTTTGGAACACATTATACCGGTGAAGTCCATGAACTATCAGAAATGGGGTAGAAAACCCCAACATCCAACCACTTCATGATCTCTTTACTAACTACCTCTTGCATGGCCTCATTCAACCTTCTTTGATGTTCCACAGAGGGTTTGGCATCCTTCTCCAACATGATTTGTGCATGCAAAAGGCGAGGCTTATACCTCGAATATCCGCCAATGTCCAACCTATTGCCTTCTTCCTCCTTTGGATCACCGCAAGGGTGGAATCTACCTGCACGTTAGTTGAGCACGAGGAAAGAATAACAGGTAAATTGGAAAAAAGGCCTAAGAACTCATACCTGAGAGTAAAGGCAAGGGCTTCAACTCCAATGTGGGAGGCTCCTCGATTGAGGGCTTTGTTGGTGGTGTCTTCCGGTTCTCAAGGTCCAAGGAAAGTTTTCGGGGCTCATATATATATGATCCTATTCCTTGCAAAGCATTGACACATTCTACCAAGCCTTCCTTCTCATCCTCATCATGATTCAATAACACAGCTTCCGATGGGTCTTCAACATTAATCACAGCACTTATGTCATCAACAATTACTTCGGTCACAAGATCCACAAACGAACAAACTTCGTTTCTATTAGGTTGCCTCATTGACTTACAAACATGGAACACTACTTTTTCATCGCCCACTCGAAAGGTGAGCTCCCCAGCTTCCATTTCAACTATGGCCTTCCCTGTAGCTAGGAAAGGTCTCCCCAATATGATTGGCACCTCGTAGTCAACCTCACAGTCAAGTATCACAAAATCTGCGGGACGTATGAACTTGTCGGCCCGAACTAGCACATCATCAATTATCCCCAATGTCTTGAACACAGAGTAGGGCATCAAGCTAATGCTTCCCCCCAAGTCAGATAGAGCTTTGGCAAAATCGGCAGTATCAATAGTGCATGGGATTGTAAAGGCACCGGGGTCTTCTAACTTTGGAGCCATGAAGTGCACAATGGCACTCACTTGATGTGTCATTTTGATCTTTTCATAGTTCATTAATCTCTTCTTTGTCACCAAGTTCTTCATGAACTTGGCATATCCCGACATTTGTTCTAAGGCTTCAACTAATGGCACATTTATGGAAAAACTTTTCATCATATCAATGAATTTCTTGAATTGGTTCTTACTGTTTTGCGTTGCAAGCCTTTGAGGATATGGTGGAGGATGCCTTGGCAAAGGAGCCTTGGCTTTGGGCACTACCGGATCTGGTATGTCTATCACATGTCCCCTAGATGGGTTCACATCATCTTGTGTCTCCTCCACATTTTCATCGATGTCTATCCTCACTTCCTCATATATGTTACTGAAGGGCATCTAATGAGACAAGTTTGTTAGCAACACTCACCTTCTGAGTTTTCCTCGAAGTCTTTTATCTGTTGTCTGTATGCATAATCTATTTATCACACATTATCATACGTATATTCTGCTATTTCTTCCTGATATTTTTGGAGAAAGCCTCGCGGATACTTAATTATTCCATAATTTTGGTTGTGGTCTGTGCCATTTCCTCCTCTCATGTTGAGGTTGTCGGTAGAGGAAGAGAAGTACAATTGCTGGAAGAGTCTTCACATTGATAAGGTGAAGGAAGCTTATTGTTCTTGTGATGCCCTTGTTTTGGTACACTGTTGAGCGCTTCCCATAGAATTTATACTAGGCATTCAGACATGTCTGTTAGCATCAATTTCTGAGGTCATTGATACTCCAATTGACCTGGTTGTTATAAATCCGTGTGAATTGATTGGTAGCACGATCAACTTATTCTTAAGACATTCCTTAAAATTATAAAGTTATTCATTTTGTATGTTTTGGCAATAGGCATGCAACTTTCTGTTACCTCATCCACAATTATTATGGTCACATAAAGAAGGATTTGTTGATCTATTGGTTTGAAGTAAATGTGCAAGCTTTGAGAGGTTACTTTTCTGGTCCTTGTTTTGGATGCTTTGCCTTTTTTTTGTGTATGTGTGCGTGTTGTAGCTTATGGATATTGTGTCCTGTAAGAGCATCTAGTAATTTCTTCATGGCTACCTCCCTGTTATTGTTTTATAAATCTTTGCTTTTCGATCCTGTATATGAGTTTGTTTAAACTGCGGATCTGGCACTCTTTGTTTTCTTTTCAGGATAATAAATGATGCAAACATGGAGCATAGTTATGAAGGTCTTTTGTGGACATTGAGGTGTGTGCCTAATTTTCATCGATATATTAGCTTTATTACGTTGTACTGGACATGTGGTACTGACTAGTCTTCTATTATATATTATCAGTGTTTGTGTTACTTCCATTTACTGTTGGTAATTTCTAACTTTGATGGTACTGCTCCATAAGATTCTGCATTATAATGCTATTATAGAGGAGTACTCTGTTTCGTTTTTACATTTTCTTCTGAATTCTACTCTCAACCCATCTAGGAGTCTTCAAGGACTTTCTTTGATGCTGCGGTATCCTATTCCAGCACTGCAAACATCTTCAGAGTTGTCATCCATATTTAATGGGGTAACAGTCTGTTCTTTCGAAATGTGTTGGCATATTCAAGTTTTTGACACCTTGGTGACCTGTTTGGCCTTTTTCTGTTAAATATAGAGAACTTTTTGTTGCCTTATAGCTGGTAAGATTGTTATTTGAATTATTTGTATTTTTGAGCTCTATCTTTCTTGTACTTGTGTATACATAGTTTGTCAAAAGCTGTTAACTAAGAACTTAAAATCTGGGAAAATAGAACACAGTTAAATTGTGCAAAGATAGAAAGATGAGTTTTCTAATTCAAATTTGATGAAGTGACCTTTCTGCTTTTGACAATGGGGGAATTTGAGGGGTTGTTTTTGCAAGACTGATAGACTTAAATTAAGTACACCAATTAGCTTGCTCTCACTTTTAAATGTTCTGGCGTTTTTCCTTGAAGTAGTTTTAAATTTGAGCTGTTGCTCTATTTTTGGATTGAGACCCTTTATGGGAATGTAAGAATGCTCTTTTCTTGATATTCCATATTGATTTTCTTTTGAATTTGAGATAGATTTCTTTCCTAACCTTTATATGACTGCATAAGATGGAAGCTTCCCTGCCTAATCGTTTTTTTTATTGTCTTTGCTATTTTCCCTTTTTTTTGGGGTCTCATGCTGGCATTTGCTTCAATTTCCTAAGACACAGTGGCAGAGTGGGTGATTAGCCTCTCACGGGGATAGTAGCTTGAGATATTCTTCCCTTTGCAGTCTAAGACCATCATGTCAGAAAGCGACTATTACATGGTTCTCCATCATCTGCTTGAACATATTTTCAATCCGTCTCATCTCATTGTTGGAAGAACTAGGACCTTATGAGGATATGGAGGCGGGTTGTTTGGTTGTGGATACATTGGGGGCCTCTGAAAGCCCAACCCCTGATTTTCTTAATTATTGTTGTTCCGGTCCTTGACTATTATTGCCTCCCCAATTACTATTATTGTTGCACCCCAATTGCCTTGATTTCCTTGATTACCCCAATTTTGATTGTTGTTGTTCCCCCAATTTCCTTGGTTGTTGTTGTTGCCACTATTCCAATTTCCTTGTTGACCTTGATCGCCCCAATTTCCTTGGTTGCCCTGTGATCTCCACTATGTTGATTCGGAGCATTGCTCCGTTGACCTTGATAATTGTTGACATATTGAACCTCTTCACTTTGATCATCATATGAATCATCTTGATTGTACCCACTACCACTTTTCTCAAATTGATTCGGATTGTTTTGAATTTGTTGACCTCGTTGCCTTCTCTTGTTGACCATCATGTTCACTCCTTCCATGGCATTCACTTGTTTTGGCCCTTGAACTTGTTGAAGCTAAGCTTTGGCCAATTGGTTCATGGTAGTTGTCAACTCGGCTATAGCTTTGTCGTGGTCATGTAGCCCCTTGTGTAGGTGAATAACATTAGGGTCACCTTGTGGCACATTGGTTCTACTTTGCCACGCCGAAGAGGTATCCGCCATCTCATCAAGTATTTCATAAGCTTCGGCATATGGCGTGTTCATGAAGTTCCCCCTGGTGAGTTGGGTAACCACACATTGGTTTGTTGTGTTGATCCTCCTGTAGAAGGTCTTTTGGATCATGGCCTCAGTCATATCGTTGTTTGGGCACTCTTTGACCATTGGTCGGTACCTCTCCCAAATCTCATGTAACGGTTTATTTGTCTCTTGTTTAAAACCAAGGATCTCATCTCTTAGCGTTGCCATATGTCTCGGAGAAAAGAACTTTGCGATGAGCTTCTCGGCCAACTCATCCCAAATGTGTATGGAATGGTTGGGTAACCTCTCTAGCCAATCCAAAGCCTTCCCCCTTAGAGAAAATGGGAAAATCCTTAACCTCAATGCATCCTCGGAGACATTAGTCTGCTTGCTCCCCCAGCACATGTCAACAAAACCTTTGAGATGCTTATAAGCATTTTTTTGTGGAGCTCCGATGAAGAAACCCCTCTGTTCCAACAGTGTAAGCATGACATTGGCTATTTGAAAGTTGCCTGCCCTAATCCGGGGCGGGACGATTGCACTTGCATAGCCTTTGTTGGGGAACACCCGGTGGGCTGCCCTTGGAGGAGGTGGGGGAGGGTTTGGGATGTTGTCATTAGGCTGGCGGCCTCTCCTTGGTACTTGAGGTTCAATATGGACCTCATCCACATGTTCGTCATATACCTCCTCCGCCAATGGTATATTCCTGAGGGCTTCGTTGTTAAGAGTCATTTGGTACCTAAAAGCAATTCACACAAAAAATTAGAAAAATGGAAGGAAAGAAACACAAAACACACAAATACTTAGATACATATCTAAAACCGTCAAAGTCCCTGGCGATGGCGCCAAAAATTGATCGGGTCCGAGCCTACACTACTATTGAGTAGTGAGGGTGGTCGATGCAGTTTTAACCCAACTAGGTCGGGATCGAATGCATAGGGAGTTAATAATTAGAATTAGGTTTATATCTAAGCTAGATGCGGGCTTTGAGTCTAATTATACTTCCACAAGTTTGGGTTTGATTTCTACTTCTAACTTTACTCTAAAGATTGCAATGATTGAAACTAAGGACAATATTTTTGTTGAGTGTTTAAAAAGACTAGGGTCGTGACTTATACCTAGGTGGATATCTAACGAGTATTAAAATCTAGGGCAAACTTGATTGGTTTGGATCGTAATATAGCTATCACACCCGGGTACTCACTCTATACCTCTCGGTAGTTTGAGTGATTTTGCTCAATTTGGCTTTTTCAAGTCTAAATGGGTATTCATACAAATCAAGTGATATCGGCTCAAGTTAGGTATTACTATCTCTAGGTTTAACCCTTTAATTGGGGCTATTAATTTCTTGAGTTCACCCCAATTCCTTGTTAGCCTAGTTGTCCTAGACTTAGTCCCTCTTTCTCAAGTAGAGACTAGGTCATAAAGGCATGAATCAATGTTTGCAACCATTAATTCTATAGTTCTAGCAAGAACTAGGCTAAATATCACTAACCCATTCACATTCAAGCCCTAAAATCAAATACCCATTGAATACCCACACTAGGGTTGGGTCACAACCCTAGATATGGGTTTAGCTACTCATGGAAATAACATAAATTAAAGATGAAATGAAGATAAAATCCATAATATTAATTTATGGAATGAAAATCTAATGTTAAGAGATGAATCTAGTACAAAAATTCCAAAAACAGAATACTCAGCCGTCTCACGTGCTCATACAAAACATAACATAACCTAAAAATGACAAAAATTTCTATTTATACTTAGCTAAAAATATCTGACAAAATTGCCCCTGCAGAGGTTGTGCGGCCGCACTCTTGCTTTTGCGACCGCATAATTCTGATGCGGTCCGCATTTTTCTCCTTTGGATCTAGGTTGAGCTGGACTTTCATAGACTGCATAATTCCAAGTGCGGCCGCGCTCCAGATTATGCGGCCGCATAAAAGTGATGCGCTCCGCACGTGCTTGAGTTTGGCTTGAAATCAACTCTCTGATTCTTCATTTGCAGACCGCACAATTTCAATCGCAGACGCACAAGGGACTTCCACGGCCGCACAATTTTGGTGCGGTCCGAGCCATTCTCTTTTGTTCAAGTTGTCAGCTCTCTGAATCTAAGTCATCGCGGTCCGTGTAATTATGATCACGGTTGCACCATGAATTTTGCGGCAGCACAATATTGGTACAGTCCGCGCTTCAGGTTTCTTTGTCTGGTCTTTGTTTTGTTCAACTTTTGACTCCTTTGTGAGCTGGTTTTGATTCCTTTGGCTCATTTTAAACAATTTCTGCAGGCAAGCACATTTCATTAATTTCCGGGAATACCTTCAAACCTTTTTGGCCTAAACACAAGTAAAAGAGAGCAAATAATAGGTTAAAATCCCTACTTATCAATCACATAACTTATATATCTCAAGACTCCTTCGCCCCGGTCCTGTTTGTGCAGAGGCTTCTCGACTTTGAAGTCTTTTGCAATTGAGCAGCCCTCGGGAATGAACGCCAACGAAGGAGGCTTGGCGGCCCCTTCGTTAGCAGCCACAACAAGGGATGCCGTTTCGAGCGTCACCACCTCGGGGGCAACCGCTTCAGTACTAGTGGCCGGTTGAGAAGACGAAGGGGCAACTTGTTGAGGAACGGTTTTTGATATTTTCCCATTATCATTTGAGGGAGTGTTTGAAAATTTGAAAAATAAACACAAAGTTTGGAAAAATGGGTTTTTAAGATAAAGCACAGGGTGTGAAGATTTGAAGAAATTTTGGGCAGAAATCTAAAACTTGTTATGAAGATTGAAGAACAAGGAAGAAGATATGAAGATTTGAAGAAGGTTTTGATGATGGTTGGCAGGCTCAAAGATAGCGGTCTGATCGGAAAGCAGAAAAAGGACAAAGGAAGGAGGCTTTTATAGAGAAACAGCCGACGCTTCGCATTGGGAGACAACCTGCTGGTGAGTGACAAGCGTCCGAAGTCACAACAATGCGATTGATGGGATGTTTCGGCTCCTCGTCGTAATGTACGAAGGAAGGAACCGGAGTCATCTGTCGTTTTCCATTATTTCGGCAAGCCTACTCTCTAAAAAACGAGGGGACTATCTGTATACAGGTGAAACCGAGCCCACTGCATGACCTGACTTCTCGGTGAGCCAAACGGAGCAGAAGCATGACCGTAGTATATCGAAGTCAAAGCGAATAGACCCTCGTATTGGGGCTCGGGCAAAACACCTACCCTCGGGGATATCGGGGTCATATCCGATTTAAGGATCGAGGCTTCGAAAAGCATTACTAAACTGTTGCGCATGACTAACAAAGGGTCGTGATGTCCGTACTTGACCGGATATCATGACATGAATCTCAGACGTATCGCCGGAAAATTAGTGATTAGGAAAACAGAAGATTTTTACCTTTTTTAGAATTGTACTTAGGGTAAACTCTTTTACTATATAAAGGGGATCTGACTATTCATTAGACACTTTTAAAACACGCATATCAAGGCAATATACCATTATTTTTCTATGTTCTTACTTTTGTTCATCAAGTTCTCTATTATTGTGAGCCCCAGACTGAAGACAAACATAAGCTATGACTGAGTCCGGATCACTCCCGCTATTGATTTGGAAATTTATTACATCTTTTATTTATTTAATCTAACGCTATTAATCATTTGTATTGAATTAATCCGCATATCCTTAAAATCACTTATAAATTTAATTGTTATCCGTTTTTTTTAGGGTAAACAATTCTCATTGTTAAGTACTTCATTTCGTTCCAATTCAATTCTCATGATTTTCCTCATTAGAAGGCCTTATAAGCTAAATAACCGATTCTCCCGGAAACTACAAAAAGGTTCTTTATACTTTCAGTAATACTTTTGCTCAAGATTCAAGAATATTGATAATTTAATTCAGACCACCAAACTAACCTTTGAAATCATGGATAAGTAATGAAGGATGTAAAAGTGTAATATAGTCTTCCTTGGCCTCTTTCAGAGCCTGAATTAAGTTATTCAAGCAAATCTCAGGCCCTCCTGCAGCATTCTTTAGTATCAAGTGTTCAGCCACATCACAAGGACTCATGTTTACTTCTTCTAGTAATCTTTGAATCTCTTCAAATAAATCGTGAGTTTCAATTCTCAAGTAATTCTTAGCCAACACTTTGAATGCTTCAAATCTGCAATACGACATCTCGATGTGCATATCCATCCGTCCTCTACGTATCAGAGCTGGATCAAGTTTTTCCTTATAATTAGTTGTAAATATAGTGATTCTTTCTTGACCACAAGCTGACCATATTCCATCAATGCAATTCAACAGCCCTGAAAGTGTAAGTTTCTTGGATTTCTTCTTTTCGCTATCAGAGTCTGAGTCTGAGTCCGAATCTGAATCCGAATCCGATTCATTATCTTTTTCTTCTTTCTTTTTCTTCTTTCTCTTGCCTGTCAAATCAACGGAGCAATCAATATCTTCAACGACAATAATAGACTTGCTTGTTGTTTCCATAAGCAACTTCTTAAGACCTAAGTTATCTTTAACTGAGGTAAGCTCAAGATCATAAATATCATAGTTCAAGAAATTCGCAATAGCTGCAATGATAGTTGATTTCCCCGTTCCTGGTGGACCGTAAAGAAGATATCCGCGCTTCCACGCCTTGCCCACACTAGAATAAAAATTCTTCCCCTCACTAAAAGCAACGAGATCGTTTTTTATTTCCTCTTTCTTCTTAGGGTCCATAGCCAAAGTATCAAAAGTTGCAGGATGCTCGAAATTAATGTGCTTCCACAAACCATACCAACGTGTATAATAATCATCCTCACTATTGTTATTACAGTAAATCCTCTGTTTCTTGTTTTTGAATTCAATCGCCTTACCTTCTTCCGTCACATGCTTCAAGTATTTTTCTGTGACAATTTCTCGATATTGTTGATTGAACGTTAAACTGTAACTTTTCTTCTCAATTGGAAGGGAATTACGCCCTTGAGAATCATCCCTGAATGTTTCCTTATGAAAGCGCCAACAAAGTTTCGCACCTTGAAACTCATCAATGGTTGATTCTCCTTCATCCAATATAACAGCACAAGACTTGATGTTCTTGAACTTTTCTGCTTTGAGATGTTTAGCATCATTGCTTATAGACTTCGTACTCAAATAATTGTTGACATGGCTGTAAATTTCATTGTTTTTATCACTGGAGAATTCATCAATGGTGATTTCTACATAAGGGTAGAAGTAATTATCAAGTCGATTCCAGAAGGTTTCGATTCGCCTACGGAGTATTTGAGGGAAGAGTTGTTGAATTGTGCCCCATATAAACATTATTCCAGCAAGCCTGGAGCCTACTTCGGTCAATGAAGTTCCCATGTTGTTTTTCCTTTAACAACATAAATTTTGAAGGCGTATATGTTTACTACGAGAATATATAGATATAGAATTGGGTGATGTGCAAGTTATTACCCAAAAAACATTGTCTGGTCCTTGTCGGACAAGGAAGTCGACTAGTTTAACTCGGCGACAAAAGAGCCTTTTTAGCAGTATTTTACTTATACTAGGATTCTAATTATATATGGAAATTGTAAAAAAAAAAAATTATATTATTGGTGAAGTTTTAACCTGTGATAATTGGTTAGTTTCCATATTTATCATATATAATTTCACATAAATACAACTCACACTTCTAACTTGCAACATAATAGCCCTGTCATAACTTTACAAATCTGTAGCCCAAAAATAATAGGCTAATTTTTGAAAAACGAGTATTTTCTAGCTTTTTTATTCGGCAACGGAGTTTAATCAGGACAATTATCTTATTTAGATAAAGTCATGAGATTTTCTAATTCTTCCGTCATCTAATTTTGATCTTTCTCCCCCAATTTGTCTTTAGTGCTACAAGTTGCTGCAAGTTGTCCCCCAATTTTTCGCTGATTCTACTTATATGGTAAAATTTAGAAACAATTGCTGCAAGTTCGTGATTTGGCGGAGAATCAACAAGAAAAGTAGATTTATACATGAATCATTCTAGAAATGGCAAAATACATATTTTAGCCATCGATCTTGTACCCAAATTCCTCTTACACACCTGTTTAATGCGGGAGTAATATTACTCACCAAAATTTTTAAAAGTGTGTCAATTGCACACCACTTCGGTGTTTGACCACATCTGTTTAAAGATCCCAATTACACGCGCCAATCAGCATCTGACACGTGTCATACATCGGGAAAAAAGAAAACTCCCCCCTGCTCATCTTCCCAACCCCATCATGTTCTCCACCACCACCAACCCTTCCACCACAAGCACCTTCTTTCCAAACTATAGATTCAATTCTTTGTCGATTTTTAACAAGTTTTAACAATATCCATCACAAATCCTTATACAAATTTCAAATTCAAGTTCAAACCCAAAGCTTCAAACTTGTTAATGGTGTTTTTTTGAATTTTATCAAAATTAATCCCCAAGTTTTCAGCTTATTTTTAGTAAACTTTTACTCAACAATAATCATGAATTCAAATTAATTTTCTAGGTAATGGAATACCAAAATCAACAAGACCCGATTAAATTTTCAAGCTTTTTCAAAAGGTCAATAATTGTGATTTTTACAAGACCCAATAGCTCCCATTTTCTTCTTCTTTTTCTTCTTAGTCATGGGGGTTGGAGAGCCGAAACATGAGGGGTAGACAAAAATATGATGGGGTGGGGAAAAGACGAACAGGGGGGTGAGGG